TTGTGTTGTGTACTCTCTAAATACAGACTGTCTTAATAATGTATAAGACTACCTTAAATGACTACGAATGTATTGAATTTATTGGATGTAAAATAATTATGTAACTAAGCTATTTATAGAAAGAATGGTGACTGATCCAAACAGTCACCATATGAATGAATGTGACTCGACAGACACATGAAACCAGAAAACACCACTTGTATAATTGTTCTCTATGAACAAACATAACTCATATTTCAGACCAGAGGGAAGCAAGAAAATCCAAACCATTGCAATCTAACAGATACGAAAAATTAAATTTCGGCTTAAGAAATTTACGCTCAATTAATTTAACAAGTTTTTTCCAAAAAAATAGGGCTTGGCCTAAACCACACCTGGGCCGGGTCGTGGCGAGGCAAGTAGTGCACGCTCATGTAGTAAAACCAAAGGCATGTAAACGCTCGCTCCACTCATACAATTATGGTACCCCTTGGGGCCTAATCCCATAGAGCAAATTTGACTTTTATGACCATCTAAAATTTTTTCCTCAACCAATGTGAGATTAGTGTTAAATCCCACATTGCACAACCTTTATTTTCACATTTCAAGAGTGTCACTTTAAAGACTATTTTTTCATTCATTTTTTACTTCATTTGAGCAAGTGAATATATTACATCATTCTCCTCATGGAGTATAATACAAATTCATGGAAGTTTACTTGAAACAACAAACGAGTCTCACTTCAATTTAGACTCATGATCGACCAAAAATTCAATTTTTACACTTAAAAAACTGTTTTAGTCCAAACACAACTCTGGAGAAAAAATCAACTCACCAAACGAAAAAATCCAGATTGTGGGAATTGCATACTTTATATAAGATAGGGACTTAGACTTTACCGTATCAACAAAAAAAAATGGTATCGTATTTAATTTATCACTATTGTGGGTATTTTTATCATTTTTTTCGGTACAAATTTTTTTACCACTTTTATGAATATTTTTATCACTGATGTGGTAATTTTTTTTGATATCACAACAGTGATAAAAATACCTACAAATATATTAAAAGTACTAGATTTTATTTTTTTTTGGTACCATAGACAATTCCATAAGATAGATATGAAGTAGTACCAACTATGTTATAAGATTTCTTTGTGATTTCAAGTCAATTTGAGGTTGGAAACATTATCAAAAGGACATGCATGGTGCTTAACTTTTTATTATTATTAGACCACACTTTTTTTTTTCCTGTGGCTCGATAGAAATTGATCCTTACTTGCAAGGTCAAGTCACTTTGTAATTTGTGTGATGATAATTAGGCAGGTATACAATCATATCAAATGTTAAAATCAAAACCTAACTCATTCATTTTTGATCTTCTTTTGGAAACATGTTAACCTGTTTCATGGGTTCCCCACTTGGCCGAAAGTGCTTCGACACTGTTTTTGTCACATTCAAAATTAAGAGACATTGATCATCAATTAGTGCCATTCATTTGCAGAAGTGAGTATTCTCTTCAAAAATGACAGGCCTAATAATAGGTTATGTCGTGTCGGGTTTCAATTGTATTTAAATTTTGTTATGTAAAAGATTGCTCAATCTATAACTACTTTAATTTATAATCAAATTTACATTATAGGAGATTTGTATCGTGTATATTATAATAGAGTTCATGCTACCTCCTTTATTGAATGAGTCCAACTTAGAAGACCCAAACGAGGCTGAATGAACTATCCAATATATCAATATATATATATAATAAAACAGGAATGTGTTTGAATTTTATCTCAGTTATATTTTTTTCCTCAAAATCATCATCAATCACTTACCTCACCTATCATCCATTTTTCAGACTCAAATATCAAATCACATCATTCATTTATTTCAAATATTTAATCATTTATATATTTTCTCCTTAAAAATTTCACACCACTCATTTTTATTATATATTTAATTATTTAATATTTAATTAATTTATAATTAATATATTTTGATAAAATTTAATATAGTGGGATCGATTTTTTAAACGCTCAAATTTTATATGTTATCGTGCCTGCAGACACGGGTTATGACTAATATATATATATATATAACCTATAGTAGAATACAATGGAACAAAGTTTGGACCTTGAGTGGGTTGTTCATCAGGCTAAATCTAATGGATCTTTCAGTTCTTAATTTTTTGTTCGGAGAATTACATTCAGACCCTTTAAAATTTGTCACTTAATTATTTACACTCTCTTATATTTGAAATATTACATACAAATCTCCTAAATTTTGTGCACACGTAACACTTAGACCCCTATCATCAATGTCCATTAGTATATTCATTAATAAATTATACTCAAATTCCCTAAAATTTGTAAGTACGTAATACTTATACACTTCAAATTCAAAATATTACACTTATATAAAAAATACTCGAATTAAAGATAAAATATCAAATATTTTAAATTTTAGAACCAAAATTCATATTTCATTATGCTATTTATTAAAATAAAATCAAAAATAAAAATCTAAGTATAATATTTTAAACTTGAGAGTCTAAATATTTCACGCATACAAATTTTAAGGAGTATAAGTGTAATTTATTAACGGATATACGAATATTGACAACAGAGATATAAGTGTTATACACATACAAATTTTAGAGCCCTATATATAATATTTTAAATATCAAGAAATCTAAATAATTAAATGACAAACCTCAGAAAGTTTGAATGTAATTCTCCCTTTTTTTGTTTTCTATTAGTAGTGCACGACGTGCGTTGCACGTAAAAAATTTTGTTGAAATATTTGGTAAACTACTTCAAAAAATTTAATTATATAACTACATTAGATATTATCTTATATTTATCATACTTAAATTATTTGTATTCTCTTCATAACTATAAACATTCAATAAACTCATTTTTTGTAATTCTTTCATTTAATCTACTAAATAGTAAGGTTCATTAATTTTTTACCAAATTATTTTGATTATAAATGAAGAGATAAGATATATATAGCCTTTTTTAGGCATTAAAGATGATATTGTATTAATAAAGTTGTCAATATGTATTAATATTGGAGTTTTAAAAAAAAATTAATATTATTTTTATATATCATGTTAAGCATAACATGACAATTCAAATTTTTTTTTATAAAAATAGAGAAATTTGCATGATATATTAGATATTAGTTTGTCATTTAAATACAAATGGATGTAATGATAATTTATATATTTAAATATAAAATTAAATGTTAAGATACATTTATTAAGGGTAAAATAATAAATTAAAATTTTTTTATATTAAGTTACTTTTATTAGTAGTATAGATTATCAATCAGGCATGTTGTTATTAATCTACGGTATACTTTTGAATAATGGAGAAATTTGTGGACAAAAACAAATAGTCCCATGGGCTGCTTGCATTCAAGCCGTCACATACTGGACCCGGCGAGGCATGACTCGCTGGACCATTCGGCTAACGGGTCAGACCAAGGACCATGTCCTTTTTTGCCTTCCTTATGTTTAATTTGATCCAACTTTAGTGATAAAACAAGGGGTGTCAAAATATATCACGGATCGTTACCATAATACAAAATTAGAAAATTTGAGTTTTACTTAAGTTACTCGTATTATAAATGAGTAGATTTGATACGATTCGTTTATATATCAATTATATACGATTCATACACAAAATCATTCATTAAACATTAATTAATAAACGAATCAAATTCGAATGAAGTACTTTTTGATATAAACCTACTAATGTCCAACACAAATGATAGACCTGGTAGATCTAAGGGTGTCAAAATATGACACAATTCATTAACAAAACAGGAGCATGATATGAAATTAGAGGATTTGAGTCTTACTTAAGTCACTCATTCGTAAACGAGTGGACCTGATTCAATTAATAAACAAGTTGAATATAAGTGATCTCAATCAAAAGAAAAACACGACACAATGCGTCTTATATTTCGATTATACATAATTCTTACACAATACGAATCCGATATGATACAAATTAATAAATAAATTGGATATGAATTGAATATTTTTGACATGAACCCGCCTCACTCAACATAATTGATAAGTCTAGATAGAACTCGGGGTGGTTGGGCTGAAAGGGCTCTAGCTAGGATGCAATTTGAACCCAGCCCATGAATTTATTCCATCACATTAGCTCATTGGTTTAGGTTCAGGTTAGAGGTGTTTATGAGACAGATTACTCACGGATCTCGTTATTTCGCCCAAAAAAAAAAATATAGGCTCAAAATCCGACAGGTTTGATAGTTGGCCCGTTCGAGCTCAATATCCTTAAAAAGAGGATTTGAATTTGTCTTTAAACCCATTAACCCGTCCAAAACCCAAACCAATAGTCTACCCAAAAAAATCCGTTAAAACTTGATCTAAGAGCTCACTCGTCAAGCCCAGCCCCTGCCCTTCCTTTGAATAAAAAATTATACTTTTAAATCATTAAATTTAAAACTTTGAAATAAGTCTTCCAATGTCGAAATTTGAAGTTTTAAAATTTTAGATACTATAAATAATATATTATTTTCTTTTTCACGTATTAAGCATACAAGTTTTAAAAGGTAGAGTAATACAAATGATAGATAAGTGAATATGTGTCAACATAGTTGAGATATATTCATTCTATTTGAATGTAATTCATCCTCTAATTAAAATATATATATATATATATATATATATATTATTTTATTTTTATCTATTTTGACTTTACTTTTGATTTAAAAATATAATTTACACAAATATTAAGATATAAAAATATTCATTATTTTTAAATAAAATTGTATATAAAAAGCCCACAAGTAAGGCCCACAGGATTGGATTGAGGATAGCCTAATCTTGTCCGAATTCCTACCCGGCCCACCCGAAAACTCAGTTTGGTAAAAATTTGAGCCTATACTACCCAGCCCGGTGGAAAAAATTTATCGGGCCTATTCGGCCCGGCCATGGACACCCCTACTTCAGGTTCAGCTTCATAGATCTTTGAACAGTATGTAGAGATGGCAGACAGAGACGAAGGAGCCAAACGAACCCTAATCTTCGTCTATGGAACCCTCAAACGAGGCTTCCCAAACCACTACCTAATTCAAGACCAACTCACATCAAACGACGCCGTTTACCTGGGTTCTTACATCACCGTTCATCAATTCCCCCTAGTCTGTGGACCCTACGGCATCCCCTTCCTCCTCAACCTCCCCCAATCCGATTGCCACCACCGCGTCCACGGCGAGCTCTACGCCGTATCCTCCCTGGGCCTGGAAGTTCTCGACGAGTTCGAAGGCACGAGTCTTGGCCACTACGAGAGATTGCCGATCCAGGTTTGTGGCGGAAGTGGGAGTGACGGTGGTGGTGAGGTGGTGGACGCAGAGGCGTATTATGGGCATCGTTGTTTTGCGGAGGGGATGTGGGAAAAGAATGGAAGAGTTGGGTTTGATGTGTATACAGAGGATATGGCGAGGAAGTACGTGAAGAGGGAAGATAGACCTAAGGGTCGGAGTTTTCTTGAGGCAATCCGATCCTTTTGTTCGTCTGATTCGATTGAAGTTTTGGGAATTTGATCTGAAAGCTCCAAAATTTATCTCAAATTAGGGTTTATTCATCAATTCAAGTTGCTAATAATTCAAGGCTAACCAAGTTAGTAGGAGACCCACTTCAGAATAATGGGGGTCTATGCTGCTTTTGCATTAGAAGGTTAATCTTACTCTCCAAGAGGCCTGAATATCAATAAACTAAATTAGCTGGTAAATTGGTACATTTACTGTATTGGTTATGTCTTTGCTTTGATTAATTCTTATTATGCTTTAGATATAACTGATTAGTTCTTCTGAAAATTTGTATTCTGCTTGTTGAATACGAGTCATTTTTTTAAGAAATGTAAGTGGGATTGTGATTGATATGGCACATAGGGAATCCTTCAAGGACATACTATCTTCTTTATTGGTCACTTCCTGCATTTCTATTGCTTGTTGGACTTGGGCCTAGGTTTAACCAGTCAGAAGATTTGACCTCTCAATCAAAATCTACGACATTATTGTGTGGTAACACAACAACCCTTACCTACCGCGGGAAAAAAACGGGACAATCCTTACCCTAGATCCTGTGCCATTTTATCTTGGATTCCCCTTTTGTTGGCTTGACAGTTGAGCTTCGTGGTTAACACCAATTAATTGACCAAAGTATTTATCCACATGCTTATCTTGTTAGCAAGTAGCAACATTGAGGTTCCACTTGCTTTGTGCACCACTTCTTTTGGCAAGGGCTAAGTTACCTGCAGAATTACACGCTGCAGCCTGATATGTTGGGAAACCCTACACTCCATTGTTAGCTTTACCCCTTGTATAGTTGATCTCGATTGAAAAAAGCATCAAGCATACTTCATCTCCTTCACCGCATAAAACTAAGCATGCCAATCCATGGCACGAGGTGAGTTAAATCCATGCAAAATTGCAATTATTGACTTTGTGACACTTTAATCGTTTATACCTGACCAGGTAGTATATTGCTCCTCATACTGCATGACCACTTCTGGTACCAGCCTTGGCCTTTGACTTGGAGAGCACCACAACTTGAAGGCCCAGATGAGTTTTGGACACAATCCTAGACACTCCATTCAATGCCTAAGTTGCACAAACCATTCTTAGTTCCAGTATGAGCAATTTGGAAACTAAATGCTTGTTTGTTACTGTCCATGTTTCCACGTGTTGCAGTTTTTTTGAGCTCAGGTAGATCTTTGCGGAGTGAGAAAACTCTAATGCTACCCTATGATCTGAAACAATTGCGATTGCATGCATCATAGGAGCTTCTACTAGCTCTTTATTTAAACAGCATAGGTATATGGATAGTATGGGTTCCATTATGAAAAGAGTTGTTTTAACAGACTCACTTGCATAGCTACCATCCACTGGAACCTACTCACATGACACTACTCTCTAGGGCCACCCGACAACATAATATTGCAACCATTATAGTTAACTGCATTCTCCATTTCTGAAGATCCACTTGTCACAAGCATTCTATCTTCACTGAATTTGTCTCATCAATCACACACACGCAACCTTCACCGCATTCAAAAAAGTTATTGCCTGCCTCTGGTCCCTCGGTCTTGGAGATGACACATTTCCACCCTTCACCACACTTACAAAATTCCTTGCCAGCGGAGCTCTCCAGAGTTTGTTCCAAATTTAAGACCTGATTCACAGATGCATCACTAAAGAAAAAGGAGGCATTAGCGCAAAAGCCTTATTAGATGCACCTATTTGTTCTTCTAATGCACTACTAAGAAGTGCATGAGTCATGAGGCAGCATAAATTAGTGCCAAAGAAGGTGTGTGTAATCGGAAGTATAAACAGTTGCCATAGTGGCTTAAAATTATCTTTCTAGAAAAAATGACATTCTTGCATGCAATGCTTGGTTTTTGAGCGCATTATGTTATTATACTTGTTTTTAGTTATATTTTGCCAGTGGAGAGAAAAGGAAGAGGGCCCGGGGGGACACAAAGACATGAAAACCTCAGCAAACAAATGGCTTCTCCTACTGCTGGCTTATCAAACTCAGACAAACTATGTGAATCTCAAGTTGATCAAACGAATTCTTAGAGGTTTTAGAACATACGTGACACAGGTGCAACTGCCACCACATTTGGAGAAGGGCTTGCCAGCTTGAGATGCATCAGTCTTGGTGATGGTGCATGTCCATCCTTCACCACCCTTACAGAATGCCTTGCCCTCTTCCATTGTTACGGTCCTGCTTAGATAAGAGGCATCAGTGTTGTAGAGCATTTATGGCTGAAATGGTCCAAACTCCTTAACTGGATGATTGTGAAAAGAACATAATATAGTAGAGTGTCAATCAACTCATGTTGTGTTGTATTCTGGTACGTTATTTTTTATTTATGTCGAATACTAGTCAATTTAAGGTCCCTAACTCAATCAGTTTAAGTAATCTTATCAGATTATATTGACACTAATGCCACTGGATTATTTTGTGTTTATGTGACATCCATAACTGATGAATCAATCTAGGACTAGTACTTCAATTTCTCTCAACCAAATTCAACCATCGGCATCATATAAACCAAAAACTACTTGATCTGACTACTTCCAACAAAATTTAGGTTGTTTCTATTACTCATGTTGCCTCAGCATAGTTATCTTTCACTGATCATCTTGTTCCAAAAGTTGGAAGCTACAATTTACAACCCCCTCCCCCCCCCCCCCCCCCCCCCCCTCCTTGTTTTGAGTATGAATTTCCAAACAGCACTTACTTTTATCATATAAGGTTCCCTTTTCACTACGTTTCATCTTTTATTGATTTACCACTAGTTCTCCCACTTTTGCTCATATATCTATTCCTCACAATGAATCTCTCTCTCTCTCTCTCTCTCTCTCTCTCTTATTGTTGGTGGTGTTAATGTTACAACTAAAAACAAGAATGCATTATTAACTTAAAGTAAAAGTAATGGTACCTGAAAGATTGCTGGCCTGTGCTTGGAGCCTCCATTTTCCTGAAATTTTTTGGTTTGATTTCTGCTGTTTCAAGTCCTCTTTTGTATGATTTTTTGAAGGAAAGGCACTGATTTTCTTTTGGGCATGTTGTCTCTTGTCCTGAAGCTATATAAAGTCTTTTAACACATTATTGATCAAGTTGAGTGGTTGAACCGAAAGTCCCACTTGATTTGAATCAGATAAGTATCGGAAATGTGAGGCTTTCACAGATGTATTTTGTCTTCGTCCTTTATCTTGTCTCTTATCAGTTTTAGGACATGGGCCAATATCCAAGTCTCTGAACTGGGCCTAGGAATCTTCAAGCCCAACCCATGCATTAGTTCTTCTTTTTAATCAATCAAAACTCCTTGTCAAACTGTACGAGCTTCTTCCAAAGCATTCGGCTTTTTGGATGTAAATGTGATACCTGTATAGATGGATTTTATATATATCGTATAATAAAGTACCACAGGGGTGGATATATAAGAATCCAAATTTGTCGAATCACTCATGTTATGATTTTTTACATTTTAGGTCTTCTCGTTCCGTCATTTGGCTTATGTTCTTCATGTAGCATTCAAACCAAATGACTATGAAATTACGTCGATACTTCCACATATTATGAGTAACGTATGAGACATCTTTATTTTTCTCCCAGAAATCTTTAGAATTACCACTTCTTAGCTTTTAATTTGTCTTTGATCATCAAATGAAATGTGAATAATCCGTTTTCTTTTTTTTGAAAGAAGGGGCATTTTCGATTCTGTCAGTGCTTGAAACAATTTTGTCTTTTGTATATTACTATATCTATAGAGTCAATAATTTTATATGAGGAATTAATGAACTCAATCATTTGTTGTCATTACTCTTCAGTTTTCTGTTGAGGTATATTACTCAAATTGGATCAGGAAACTTCAAGCCCAACTCATGCATTAGTATATTTTCCTTACATTTTTATTTTATACCTTCTTTCGTAAAGGTCAGTGATTACTGCTAATCCTTTTACATGGGGGTCGGAGCAGTCGATCTTGGGCCAGCAATAGCCATATTCAGTACTAAAATATGTCACTTGTACCCAATTTTGAGATTTAATGTATGGAAAATGGTTATTGGATTGAGAATGTACTTCATTAAATGTTGGGACAGACGATTACTACTTCAATGGTCATAATTCTTTTAAATCTTCACGTTAGATTCATAAACTAGGTCTTAATAACGTTACCCTTCAGAGTTTTGCCCTGGCCCTTGTGTTGCTACATTGGATCCCATGTCTCTCCTAATGAGAGTGGACATGGGTTGGTTGGGTTAGGGATCTGCTAACCAGACTTAGTTCTGGAAGCCACATAGCAGGCATTAGGTAGTGTTAGCCGTTTGATGGGCCTAAAAACTGTCTTCGTCTAACCCAAATTTAGTGTTAGTTTCCAAAAACAGTTGTTGGGAGGCTACCCAATTTTCGGTTACCAATATGAACAGTTGCTGGGAGGCTTTTCTATGAACCTCCCTACTGAATGATGAACTTTACCAACTTTTGCCTTCAACTCGACTAGGAGATAACACACGATCAAACTTGGTCCTTATCTTAACCGCTTGAATTGAATGCATATCTCCGTCATCTGGTCAAGAAGAGAGAAAACTCCTCCTTCCTCTGGCCCTGGAATGAAAGAAATGGGTCAACATCAACCCCCGGGTTCTTTCCCCATCTACAAGAAAATAAAGTTTTGCTTGCTTTTTAATTGGGTTTGACATTCTATGCAACAACTATTCCATAGGCTCGATTGCGTTTCATCCTATAGTTTCTATCTTAGTAATGACGTCATTCAATGGCTGACTGAAGATTTTGCTTCACTGGGTGCCATTTTATTTGACATAAGCATGAGTCATAGAATTTTTTACATTTTTCTTGTGTTATATCCGCTTATATAACCGACAATAGCGTAGCATATTATTTATCTAGACATGCTTGTTTTACTGTAGAAAATTTTATGAGGACGAAAGAGATGAAGCAGTGAGAGAAGAATGTTGATTGTCAAAGGTACAAAGCGTGGAGGAGAAAAGGATCCACTAGCCAAGCAAAACGAAATGGAGTTGCCCACCCTAGGGTAGAGAAGGTGGTGGTCTACCATGTGATTAGCCGCAACCTAAGTTCACACTATGTTTCGGAGTTGGTATCAAAAATCGAAAGTTCCAACTCATTATTTTTGAAAGAAAAAAAAAAAACTTATTTGATAATCCATTCAATCCCAACTCTTCCATCTGATATAGATCTCTCTTGCATGAAATCTTATTTAGATTGATCACCATATATATTCATGGAAATAATTAGTTGAGTCTCAAACTCAAATTTTTGATTTGCAAATCATTAATTAATACTACAACTTGACTTCGTTTAGTTGTAACTTTTTCCATTATGATATGAAATTTTTTTCGCCCCGGATTTTCCCACTAAATTATAATGGAAAATCGGCTGTCTATAATTTTGTTTCCACCAGACAGTGCTGGCCAATGACGATGACAACCATTACCAAAAGGTTTGTTTATGGTACCCAAAAAAAAATGGTTTTTGAGTATTTATATAATGTGGAGCTTATCAACTTTTAGGATGTATATATTTTTTGGTTCACTTATCATTTTTTGGGGTAAAATTTACAATTTTTCTAGCTTTTTTTTTCCTCACTTTTTGGTACAGTGGTGTATTCCCCTAACAAAAACACGTCTTTAGGGTACAAGTTAAAGCCATAAGGTAGAAAATTACTGATGATGCGCTCAAGGTGGGTGGTGATAGTGATCTATATATATATAAGTATAAGTACTTAAGTAGTAATTGAAAAGACTCTTGTAGGGGCTTTAGCAAAATATGATTTCTTTTTCTCTTGTTTGGGTAAAAAGCCACAGTATCTGTAAATGTTGTGGTGAAGACCTAATCTTTACACATGTGGTATCATAGCCATATGAAGCTTTCAAATTTTATATAGAAACTATATATGGCCCCTTGTCTTAGGCTTGTTGCTGTGCACTGCTGGTTCGTCAAGCCTACCAATTAAATAAGCTTGGCCATGGATTACTTCCTGCTAATCACCTTCTCAAACTATGTTTGGACGTATCAAACCAACTTGACACTTTCATCTCTCTCTCTCTCTCTCTCTCTCTCTGTGTGCGCACACATGCATGTCCACACTAGTTGGGTAAAATAATGACATCACATAAAACAAATTCAAATCATCGCTTATTCCATTATTGTCCAAAATCTTAGTTAACTTATCTTGATTACACACAAAAGCCATTCCGACACTTCACAATTTTTGTTCAAGTGCAAATGATGATGGAAATCACCAATAGAATTTGTGGATCACAAGTAACAACAGAATAAGAAACCCAAAGTAAAATAGTTCCAAACCATCTTAAAGGATTTGAATGGAGTTGGACTCCATCAATATACCTACAAAAGATAAGAAAAAAATAGGTTTTTGCATTATGAAATCTTTGATGTAAAGATATTATATGCCTAACATGATCAACTATCTCTATGTGGGCTACAGCAAAGGCACACTAGTGGGATTACTGAAGTGAACTGAGAACATTCTTGGTGGTGTTTGTGTTCTGGACCACTTTGTGGGGACAAAAAGCCTTCTCGTTGCATGTGTTTCAACCACTCTCTGTGCTTAAACGCGCATTTGAACCCCTTGCAATGCCTATAAAAAGCCTCGGTTCCATGCATTTCGGGGTCATGCTTTGTGGGAATCAAACACATTCTCATGGCTACCAATAAAGTTTCTACTGTAATGTTCTTTGTGTTATTGGGGCTAGCCGTATGTTCTGCAGCTAGATCCCTTCTCACGCTTGAAGAGAGTGTTGGATACACTCATGGCTCAGGCGGCGGTGCTGGTGGGGGTAGTGGCTATGGAGCTGTAGATGTTCATGGCTATGCAAGTGGTGGTGGTGGTAGTGGTGGTGGTAATGGTGCTGGCCATGGAGCTGCTGGAGAACATGGTGCTGCATTTGGTGGTGGCGGTGGTGGTGGAAGTGGTGGTGGAGGTGGTGGCAGTGCTGGAGGTGAGCATGGTTCTGGGTATGGAAGTGGTTCTGGTGAAGGAGGTGGTGCTGGGTATGGCGCTGGAGGAGAACATGCCGGTGGTGGTGGTGGTGGTGGTAGTGGCGGAGGAGGTGGTGCAAGTGGTGGTGGTTATGGAGGAGGTGAAGGAGGAGGAAGTGGTGGTGGCTATGGTGCAGGTGGAGATCATGGCGGTGCCTATGCTGGGGGAGGGGGCTATGGAGGCGGCAGTGGAGGAGGTGGTGGTGCTGGAGGAACAGGTAGTGGATATGGTAGTGGTGGAGGTGCTGGTGGTGGCGAAGGAGGAGATCATGGTGGTGCATATGCTGGTGGTGGTGGTGGTGGTTCTGGTGGAGGTGGTGGTGGTGCTGCTTCTGGAGGAGCAGGTAGTGGATATGGT